ACAAGGCAATAATCGTGGATGTTTTACAGAATATTTTCAAGGAAAAAATGCGCCAAATTCGTTCCAAATGGTAAATAGTGTTCAAAGTTCGGTCCGGCCGAACTTACAGCTTTTTTATTTGCTTAAGATTACCTTTTCAAGAACCAATTTTAAAAATATTTTTTTCAAGGACTCCTAGAACCATAATTTTGGATATTTTAAATAGTATAGTTTCAAGAACAGTTGGAGTCGAAGTTGTGAATTTTCTGAAGAATATTTTTAAATATACCAAAATCCCCTCATTTATATTAACCATAATCCCAGTTTCCAACTATCCAATAGCCTTCCATTTCAATTCCAAAAAAATAGACAACCATTTAAGGATTTCATTTATTTAATTCCAGCATTTAAACTGTGCTGCTGCAATCAAGTGAAATCCTGTTTTTTCATTGGAAGAACAATGTGCATATCCGATTACCTATTTCCTGATGCACAAACATTATTTGCCTCCATTATATGGATATATCCTGGTACCTTTGTTGGGCGTGTGTGTGTGTGTATGAGCATGTGTGCGTGTGTGTGTGTGTGTGTTTGTGCATTGCTCACAAATACGCATTCGTTCATTTATTCAATCGGTGTGTGTATTTATTTGCGTTTGTGTCGAAAAGGATGTTGAAATAAAGGCTACTATAATTGAATTTTCATTCGAAACCAATTGTGCGCCATCTCTACCACAGATGATATTTTTATTCAATTAAGTACCAGTGTTCGATGGCAGCGGCCTGGTGTTGGTGTGTGTCTGTATGTGTGGTATCAGCACCAGTTGTAGTAATAACAACATAGTCGATCCATAGATATTAACAAACACCGAGAGGTACACAAACACTCACACAGAAAAACGAGGTACTTTACAATATTCCATTTACGGCCGATCCACACAACAAAAAACTCCGGTAACGGCACCACCACCGCCACGATGTGCAAATAAACGTTAACGCCCACTATCAAAATTGGTTGGTACATCGTTTTTTTTTTTTTTTTTTTTTTTTTTTTTTGAGCTGGTCCTTGTTATTGTTGTTGTTCATTCTGATGTCCGCACAAAATAACCGCAATATGTTACCAATATTATTACTATAGGCTGAGGGTCCTGCTTTTTTCTACTTTTGCCGCAGCTATTGTTTTTTGTTCATTGAATAATTTGTTATTCAATTTATATACACAGCGTCAGTGCATATTTTCTGTTTGCTTAAGCTGGGAGCAGAATTTCGAGGGGATTGAAATTTTGTGTTGAAGAGCATGTTCCTGTCTCCTAGGAAGTCCACTATTGAAATCGTGGAATTTTTAAAAATATATTTCTTCAGGACTAGTAGAATATCCCTGCTAAGAGTTATAATCGCAATATTTCTTATGAATATTCCACCAAGAGCTACCCTAGCTATAATCTTGGTATTTTAAAGCAAATTGTTTCAAGTACCAGCAGAGCTAGATTTGGGATTTTTAAGGAATATTCAAGTGCTCCAAAATGTTTTTTTAAGTTTTTTTTTTTCATGGATCAGCAGAGTCACAAACTTAGGTGGACTGTCCAAAGGAGCAACAGAGCTATAAACTAATAATGAATTTTTAAAACTTTTTTTCAAAGACAAAAAAAGACTGAACCGGGTTTTTCTTAAAATAATATAAGGCCAGCAAAGCTGTAATCGGATATTTATTAAAAATATTCTTATGGGCTATATTCGTGGATTTTTTAAAGGACATTTTTCAAGAACAACCCCAGCTATAATCTTGGATTTTCAAGAATATTTTTCATGGACCTCTCAAATTTTGAAGAGTATTCTCTAAGGACAACCTATTTTGGGGATTTCTTAAGAATATTTTTTCCAAGAATCTGATATAATATTTTCTAAGGATCTGAGCCATAATCTTGACATTTTTTTTTTTTGTTTTTCAAATAATTTATTTAAAAAAATATTTTCCCAAAGATTGTCACCGCCATGATCACGTATTATTTACAGGATATTTTTCAAGGACTATGTGATTACAAAGCCATAACCGACGAGTTTTTTGAAGAAAAAATTCCCAAGATGAGTGGTTTTTAGTTAAGTTTTTATTTTTTTTTTTGTTTTGAAATAATTTTTGAAGGACCCATAGGACCGTAATTGTGGATTTTATAGAAATATTTTTCAAGGATCAAGTATAAAGTAAATCAAATATGTTTATAGAAATTTAAAAAAATATTTCTCAAGGACCCCGCAATTATTAAACTATTTAAGAATACTTTTTGAATGAATAATTTTCAAATACCATCTGAGCTATAATCTGGGATTTTTAAGAATTTTTTTCCAAGGACTCGCTGATCGTTGATTTTTAAGAAAATATATATTGCAAAAACAACCTGAAATATTATCCCGGCTTTAAAAGAATATTTTTATGGACATATTTAAAGCCGTCTTTTAAGGTCTCAATAACCCACTGATCGGAAATCATGTATTTTTTGTCTTCAAGGAACACCGGAGCTATAATTTTGGAATTTTATGTATTAATTATTCAAGGACTCAATTTTCTATCGGACTATTATTCTGGTTTTTTATTGAGCTATTGTCCTGCATTTTTAAGAATACTTGTTCAAGGGCCTTCTTTTAATTTTTGTTAGAGACCAACTGAGCCACAATTTTGGCTTTTTAGGAATACCTATTGAAGGATCTTAAAAATATTTCTTCAAAGACCACCAGACCTAAGATCCTAGATTTTCTAGAATATTTTTGAAGGACGACCAGAGCTATTATCCTTGGATTTTAAAAATACTTTTTGAAGGACATTTTTAGGAATATGTTTTTTTTTAAGATAATGGGGCATTTTTATGATTTCATTTTTGAAGGACCCACTTATCTAAAATCGAGGTTTTTTTAAGAATATTTTTCAATGACCAGGAGAGCTATTATCCTGGACTTCTAAGTTTGCTTTTTCAAGGAGCTCTTAAAGCATTTTTTTTTTCAGATACAACCGGAGGTTGTGGCAGAGGATTTCGAAGAATATTTTGTTAGGACCATCAGAGCTATAATCCTGGATGTAAAAAAGGGCCCACTGATCTGTAATTGTGGATTTTTAAAACTACTTTTTAATGAACCACTAAGCTATTATCCTTGCTCCTTTCTGAGAAGGACTAACATAGAAAGTGTCATGGATTTTTACAAATACAAGGAAGGTTTATGGTTCTTTAATTCTAGGATCTTTAAGAATATTTTTCAAGGACCACCAGAACTTTTATCCTTACTTTCAAGGACATATTTAAGAAAAAAATTTTCCAAAGGCCACCAAAGCTATAATCGTGGATTTTAAGAATTTATTTTTCAAGGACCAAATGGTCTGTTATCTTGAAATTCGTGGCTATTATTCTAGCTTCTTGAGAATTTATAAGAACCATTGTAAGATTTGGTTTTAAAAAACTGTCGAAGTTATAATTATTCCAGAGTTATAATATATTTTATCAAAGATTGAAATTCTTTAATTCGGAGATTTTTAATAATATTTTTGTCCAAAGACCAGCAAAGCTAAGATCGTGGATTTTAAGAATATATTTTTTTAAGGACCAACTGATCGATGATAGCGAACCTTTTAGGAATACTTTTCGAGGACCATCAGGGCTTTTATCCAAGCTTTTTAAGAATGCCCTTATGAGAACCATTTTAAGAATGGTCTTTCAAGGTCTATCAGAGTTATAATCGTGGATTTTTAAGATTTTTTTTTAGGAACCACTGAAATATCACCGGGAATTTCTGAGATCGTTTTTTAAGAACCACCAGAAATACTACCTTGAAAATCAAATCCGCGATATTTTCGTGCTTGAAAAGGAGATTCTTAAATTACACAATAAAGCATTTTTAAATGTCAGGATTATCCTGACATTTTAGTCGTTGTGAATAAAGAATTTACTTTCAAAGAGCCAAATATCACGGATTTGATTTTCAAGGACTAACGCAGTATTTGACTTTTGAGAACATGAACTAAAGTCGAGATTTTTTAAGAATATCATTTCCTCAAGGAAGGAATGAGGAGGAATTATTTTTTTAAGATTAATTTTCAAGGCATGCCCAGTGGAGCTTTATCTTGGCGCCTATAGAATATATCTCGAGAGCTATAATAGTGATTTTATTTTTTGGCTTATTTTCAAGAACTTCCAGAACTTTTATCGTTCATTGATATAGATTTTTCAGGCCAAGCGGAGCTATATTTTGGTCCCTATAAAATATTTTTCGAGAACTGTAATGGTGGATTTTTTTAAAATATTTTTTTTAAAAGACCAACAAGGCCAGATTCATGAATTTTAGCAAATATATTCAAGGACAGCCAGAGAATAAGTTTGTAGACTTTTTAATGATATTCTGTCCAACGAATATTTTTTAAATGACCATATTTTTTCAGCTCGTCTTTAGAAACTTCTCCCTTCCAGGTCTTTTATAGAAACTCTTTTCAGCTCGTCTTTAAAGATACTATCTCCAGTCCGTCTTTAAGGACTTTCCAGCTCGTCTATAAATTCTCTCTCCAAATCGTCTGTAGAAAGACTCTCTCCAGCACGTTTACAGAGAGACTCTCCACCTCGTCTATAGAGAGACTATCTTGAGCTCGTCTTTAGAGACTCTACTCTTCCAGCTTGTCTATAGTGACTCTCTCCAGCTCGTCTATAGAGAGATACTCTCCAACTCGTCTATAGAGAGACTCTCTCCAGCTCGTCTATAGAGAGACACTCTCCAGTTCGTCTATATGGAGACTCGCTCCAGGTCGTCTATAGAGAGACTCTCCAGCTCGTCTATGGAGACTCCCTTTTAGTTCATCTAATAAGAATCGTATATTGAGTCTCTCTTTTATCTCTTCTATTTTTCTTCGATTTTTTGCAGTTTCCGAACACTGTGTCACATTAATTCATTTAATTTATTGACATGAAAATCCTTTATTTTCCGAATACTTTGTAATTTAAAGCGTTAATTTCGAATTTCCTGTCTGTTTTTTCTCCTTACCATTTGCAGGTCTGTGCATTATCGAAGCGTAGCATGATTTTACAACCGGATATACCACCATACAATGAAATAGTGGCACCACCCGGTGCCCTGGGTGCTGCTGCTGCCCAAGCGTCATCAACCGGTGCCTTAATGGTTCATCAATCGTCATCATCGTCCTCATCGGCGTTGTTGTCCTCCTCGTCGTCACATGGCCATCAACAGTCCCAGCCACAGTCACAACCACAAACTCAACAACAACAACAACATCTATCGGCATTGGCCTCAACGAAAAGCATTCAACAGAATAATATAATTATTGCCAATCCTGGTCTGAGTTACGATGATGTCCTCAACGAGGATTTTCAATTCGACATGGACGGCCATGATGTGATGGTATTTTTGCATATCCAGAAAACGGGTGGAACTTCATTTGGTCGGCATTTGGTGCATGATTTGGATTTAAAGGTATGTGAAGATAAGTGTTTTCCGATTGGATTTTGCTTAAAAAATTTACATATTTGTCAGGGATTTGTTGTGGCTGACTGCTTTAAAGAATGGATGATTTGTTTGATAAGAACAAAAACTTATATTCAGGGTCATTTGATTTCCTTATTAACAATTCATGTTCAGCCAGAGCTGAGCGGAATTGATAATTTGTTGAGCTTCTTGGAAATAATCCTTATTCGTTTTTTGGTACTTGGGAGGTTCCGTCACCATCCTAGTTGGAATACATTATCGTGAGCCGAAGTTCTAAGGCATTCCCATGGATGAGATATTTTTGAGATTAGACTTCGAAATGGAAGTATGAGCTGGAACATGGCTCACATTCTGGAATACTTCCAAAGATCCATACCTTCTTTTTTTAAAGAATAATAAACAATTTTTACAAAGACATCTTTGCATGTCTTTCCTTTACCTCTCTCTCATTCCCATAAAAAAGTTTTCATTTTGGTCACATCGTTAGACCATAACCGACCGTCAAGAATATCATCATGTCCAGCTCATAACCTGTCATTATGGTGTGGCATACTAATAAGCCAGACAAACTTGTAGAACAATTTCTGCGTATTTGGTCAGAATGTAAAAAAAAAAAAATAAATCTCAGCCAAGTCTGTGAGAAAAAAGTGAAATATTTCACAATCTTTTTTATCCATTTTTAATTGAATATAAAAATTGAATTTAAAGTACCATTTTAAATGATATTTTTTCAGGACCATTGAATGTTCAGAACGACAAATGAATTGTAATTGAAATCGGGAAATGGATGGGATGGAATGAAGAAAAAAAATTATGCAGACTATAAGACTCTCATCAGCTCGTTTAAATACCTTAAAGAGATTGATGTGGATAACAAAGAAAAAAATGTTCCACCGGGCCGAAATTTTAATACCCTCCGCCTTAGCTCTTAGAAAATGAGATTATGGGAATTTCATATTCAAAAGATTTCCATTTTAAACTTCAAGTGCATTTAATACATTTTAAAATTCAATGAAATTGGCTTGAGTATACAGCTAATGTCTTCTAAATATTTGTTGAATTTTAGACTTAGAAGAAAGGACGATTAAAAAATCCACGCTATAACCTTAAAAATGGGGCTTCAAAAATTATTTTTTAAGGAAAACTACAACAGGGCTTAAAATGGACGGCCTTAAAAATCTTTAAAACCCTTAAAAAATCAAGGACATGGCCTTACAATGGGGGCTTTAAAAATCAGATCCAGGTCAAGACCTTACAAAAGGAGCTCCAAAAAGCTTTAAGAAATCCAGGCCAAAACCTTCAGAACATCTTTCAAAAATCCACGTCATGGCCTTACAAAAGGAGGGCTTTAAAAATCAAGGCCAAGGCTATGCAAAGGGTCCTTTATAAAATATTTCAGAAATCCAGGCCAAGACCGTAAAAAACTCTTTCAAAAATCCACAACCTCTCCTTACAAATGGGACTTCAAAAATGTTATAAAAATTCAAGCAATTGCCTTACGAAAGCAATTTCCTTTTAAGAACCCAGGTCAAGACCTTAATAGAGCTCCAAAAATGTTTTCAAAGATCCAGACCAACCCCTTCAAAACATCTTTAAAAAATTCACACCCTGGCCTTACAAAGGGAACTTCAAAAATATTTTTAAAAATTCAAGCCTTGGACTTACGAAAGGGGCTTAAAAAAATTTTTAAAAATCCAGGCCAAGATTTTTCAAAGTGAATTTCTTTTTTTTTCAAAAATCCAAGCCAAGGTCTTAAAATAGGAGCTCCAAAAATATTTTCAAAGATCCAGAGCAAGACCTTCAAAACATCTTTAAAAAATTCACCAAGGCTTCAGAAAAGGAACTTCAAAAATATTTTTAAAAATTCAAGCCATAGCCCTAAAAATGGGGCTTCAAAAAATCTTTTAAGAATTCAGGCCAAGACCTCACAAAGGGGGCTTAAAATTTTTTTCAAGAATCCTAGCCAAGACCTTACATTGGGAGCTCCATAAAATATTTAAAATATCCAGCACAAGACCTTTAAAATCAACATTCAAAAATCCGCCCCCTGGCCTTACAAAAGGAACTTCAAAAATATTGTAAATATTCAAACCATGGCCTTACGTAAGGGGCTTAAAAAACCATGCCTTGGCCTTACAAAGGGGACTTCAAAGAAGCTTTAAAAAATCTCCGACTTGGTCTTTTAAAGAGGGTTTCAATTTTTTAAACCCACGCCAGGGTCTTACAATTGAGGCTTCTAAAAAAATCGGTCTTGCAAAGAGGGCTTAAAAACCTTTTAAAAATCCATGTCATGGCTCTACAAAGGGGACTTCAAAAGTCTGCCGAAAATGCACGTCCTGGCCAAAGGGAGCTTTAAAAATCTGCCGAAAATTCGTGTCATGGCCTGACAAAGGGAGCTTCAAAAATCTCTCAAACTCTAGGCCTCGGCCTTACATAGGGACCTTAAAAAATAAAAAAACTTTTCAAAAATCCATGACATGGCCTTTCAATAAGGGATTCAAAAATCTGACGAATACTCACGTCGTGGCCCTACAAAAGGAGCTTCAAAAATCTGCCGAAAATTCAAAGTCATGGCCAGGCAACGGGACCTTCAACAAATCTTTTCAAAAACCCACGACGTGACCTTACAAAGGAGGCTTAAAACATTCTTTAAAAAAATCCATGCCATGACCTTACAAAGGGAGCTTCAAAAAGCTTTCAAAAATCCAAGGCCTTACAATAGGGACTTCAAAAAACTGCCGAAAATTCAGGCCATGACATTATAAGGGAGCTTCAAAAATCATTCAAACTTCTACGCTTTAGCCTTTAAAAAAATGAAAAGTCTTTCAAAAATCCATCCATAGCTTCAAAAAGGGGCCTTCAAAAAGCCTTTAAAACCCCACGCTTTTGCTCGAGGCTTGAAAGAATCCCACAAAATGTGTCACAAAAATGTCAAGAAAAAATACACCTTGGCCTTATAAAAATGCAGGTCTTTTTTTCTGAAAAATCTCAACAAGTGAGATATTGCTTTTGAGACGGCCCAGAGCCTATAGACTTGCCTTTCAAGTGGTTAATTGCAGATAAACTGACCAACATGCCATTAATGGCATTTCAGATCTTCCTTGATCGATATATTTACTTCTGTGCGTCTACAGCCGATACACTTGTTTTTCAGTCTGATCATGGTATAAAAACTGCCTTTCGGACCACGAATGACCAACAGAATGCAATTTCAGGTCAAGCGATAGCCAATAGCCCACCTCCAAAAGCCTTTCAGGCCAGCCATAATTAATAGACTTGTTTTTCGTGTCATCCCTAGCCGCTGGGCTTGCTTTTCACACCGTAAATTACCGATTGAATTCGTTTTCAGGCCGTTAACACACGAAGAGCGTGACAATACAGTGGTATATTGCCGATAGACTTGAAACAGGATTTAACTTCGTCGGTAAAAACATAAAATCTCCTACAAACCGTCTATAAAAGGATATACTTATTTTAGACCGCCTACATCCGATTTCCTTAGGGCCGATACCATTTAAACGAAAAAAGTCTCCAATTATGCCTTTATCCCTGTCAACTCGCCTATAGAGCAGTTGGCTTCCTGTGAGCTCGTCTATAGAGAAGTAGGCTCTCTGTGAGCTCGTCTATAGAGAACTAGGCTCCTGTGAGTTCGCATATAGAGAAGTAGGCTCCCTGTGAACTCGCCTTTAGAGCAATAGGCTCCCTGTTAATAGGTTAGCCTATCAAGTGACAAACTCCCTGTCAGCTCGCCTTTACAGCGATAGACTCCCATTCAGATCACTTTTATGAATATGGGCTCCATTTAGTCCTTCAAATATTGAGATAGACTCAACTAGTCTATAAAATCCTTTAAGATCGTCTATAGGCTATCACTTGAATTCAGCATTAGACTCCCTTTTTTAACTTGTCTATATTTTCAGATCGGGGCTCCCTTTCAAGCCTGTTAAGTTCGTCGACAGACCTTTACCTAGAGACTCTCATTTTAGATAGCCCTTTTTAGATAGTCTTTAAAAAACAGTTTCAGCTAGATTCAGCTACTGACTCTGGTTTCATTCGGCCCGAGCCTAACTTTTCATATAGCTTATGGACACCCCGTCCAGCTCACCGATGTAGATCCTTACCCAGACTACCAATATTATCTTTTTTAAATTTCGTTTAATTTTTTCTCTCTCTCTCCCTTTTTAGCGTCCCTGCGAATGCCAGCGACAACGCAAACGTTGCTATTGTTTCCGTCCACATCGTAATGAAAATTGGTTATTTTCACGCTACTCCACGGGTTGGAGATGTGGTCTACATGCCGATTGGACAGAGCTAACCAGCTGCGTAGATCAAGTGTTGGATAAAAATGAAGGTGAATCGGCAAAACGAAGATATTTCTATATCTCACTGATACGAGAACCTTTGGCGCGTTATATGTCCGAATATCGCCACGTTAAACGTGGTGCAACATGGAAAAATTCACGCCATTGGTGTCTGGGTAGACAAGCGACGCAAAAGGAACTGCCACCCTGTTATAAGGGTGATGATTGGTTAGATGTAACCATTGATGATTTTGCCGGTTGTGAATCGAATCTGGCCACAAATCGTCAGACACGAATGTTGGCCGATTTAGCACTGGTTGGATGTTATAATAAATCGGCAATGCCGGCCCATGAACGGGATCGGGTAATGTTGGCCAGTGCCAAGAGGAATTTGGCATCGATGGCCTATTTTGGTTTGACGGAGTATCAAAAGGTGAGTGGAATGTTTAAATAATTGCAGTATTATTTTTTAATTCTTTTGTCATTTCTTTTGCAGATCTCCCAGTACATCTTCGAAGAGACTTTCAATTTACGCTTTGCCATTCCATTCGAACAGCACAATAACACTTTGTCCGTTTCGGCCATACACAATCTGAGACCGGATCAAAGAAGAAAAATAGAAGAATTAAATAGTTTAGATATAGAATTATATGCTTTTGCCAAAAATTTATTATTCGAAAGGTAAGTAACCTGGGGCTAGAGGCTTCATTGTGAATATATAAAGTAACTTGGGATTTACATTCATCTCATTCATAGGTACACTCCCGTTGTACTCAATAGTCCGACAGACTCCCTTCCAGGTCGGTTATAAGGCAATCGACACCCTTCCAGCTTGTCTATAGAGCAATAGACTCCTTAACTAGCCTCTCAGCTCGTCTGAAGTGCTATAAACTACCTTTGAATTCGGCAATGGAGCTATAGACTCCCTGTCGTTTCACCTAAAGGTAGTCCTGTCGTTAAATATAGTTCAGGTCGCCATCATCTAAATAGGCTCCATTTAAACTCACCCACAGAACGACGTATAGCAGGCTCATAGAGCTCTTCTGTCAGCTCTCAAATACAGCAATAGACTCTCTGTCAACTCGCCTATCAAGCGATAGACTCCCTGCCTGCTCGTCTGCAGAGCGATCTACACCATGTCTGTTCACCTATGGGGTGGTAAACTCCCTATCAGCTCGCCTTCAGGGCAATAGAATCCCTGTCACCTCGCCTATCGAACGATAGAATCCCTGTCACCTCGCCTATCGAACGATAGACTCCCTGTCAGCTCGTCTAACAAGTCTATCAAATGATGGACACCCTGTCAGCTCGCCTATCAAATGATAGACTCCCTGTCCGTTCGCCTATCAAATGATAGACTCCCTGTCCGTTCGCCTATCAAATGATAGACTCCCTGTCCGCTCGCCTATCAAATAATAGACTCCCTGTCAGCTCGCCTAACGAATGATGGACTCCCTGTCAGCTCACCTATCGAACGATAGGTTCTCTATCAGCTCAGATAGGCTTTCTTTCTTTCTTCTAGATTATATGTGATTTGCTTCTTTCTAAATCGCATGTATTAAGATAGGCTTCCTGTCATTTTGCCTTTATAAGGATAGCCTCAATTCCGTTATATAGCCAGTAGACTCCATACAGGCAGACTCATCTGTAGATTCCATTATACCCTATCTGAGTTTTCTTTTTCCGCTCGCCTATAGTTTCTCTTTTTTCGTCTATAGACTCCTTTTCTTCTAATCGATAGACTAGCATTTTGGTCTCCTATTTCTATGCACCAGAGACTCCATTTTCCGTGCATCTAAAGACTCTTTAGAGTCCTTTGACCGGCTTGTCTATAGACTTTCGTTTTGGTTACTCTACAGACTGTCCTTGTTCTGGTCCCATTTTTGTTTTACCCCGACCTCCTTTTTCACCTCGCCTGAAGAATCCCTTCTATGTCTATAGACACATCAGTATGCCTATTGAGTTCGCCAATATACTCCTCTTTTTTCACTCGTCTATAGTCTCCTTTTGTTTTAGTCTTGACAATGGACTTCATTTTTGTCTTGTCTGCACCTTCCCTTTTTAATTCGTCCAGAAACTCCAGAGAAATTATTTCCGCTCGCCTATTGATTGACCTTTTGACTTGTCTATTGCCTACCTTTCACCAGTGTCTCCCTTTTCAGTTAGCCCCTAGACTCCCTATTTTACACCTCTACAGATTCCCTTATTAGTTCGTCCTTAGACTTTATTTCATGTAGTATATTAACTCAATATCGGCTTGTCTATATACTCCCTTCCTCGTCTATCGACTCTTTTTTAGCCACTCTATGGATTCTCCTTTCGAATATTTCGGTTATTCTATAGACTAACCTCTTTGTTCCTCGGTTGTATATCTTCTCTGTTCATCAAGTACTCCATTAGGCTCCGTTTTCTGCTTGTCAAGGACTCCAGACTCCGGCTAGTCTGTGGACCCTCTTTCTGCAAGTCTTTAGGCTATTTAGAATGTCCTTTCCTCACGAATACAGACTCTTATTTCAACTCGCTTGAGGAATTCCTTTTTAGCTCGAATGGGGATCTCCTTCTTAGTTCGTCTATAGACTCCCTCATTATTGCTATTTCCGATCCGACGATACCCTTCTATTTGGGGTTTTTGTATTCTTCTTTATCAGCTCGATTACCTTTTCATCTTATCAGGACCTCCCTTTAAACTCCATCAGAGACACTTTCAGCTCATCTATAGATTCCCTTTTCCGTTAATCTGTTGATTCTCCTTTCTGTCGCTTTTGGAGACTCCACTTTCAGCTAATCTCGAGACTTCCTTTTCCGCTCTCTAAATATACTCTTTTCTGTCCGCTTTTAGACTCGTATATGGATCACTTAATGTGTTCCCTTTCGAAATCGTTCAGAGACTCCAATTTGTGATCATATATAAACTCCCTTTTTCTGCTCGTCTGTAGAATCTCTTTTCTGTTCCCTTTTAGATTTCTTTATTAGCTCCAATACCTTTTCGGCTTGTCTCTAGACACAATTATCAGCTTATCTCTTATTTGGCCTTCTTTTATAAAAATTATACTCATAATTTCCTATTATTTCTATTTTCTAATTTCCTCCTCTTTTTTCCAGATTCGAACACTTGAAAGCACGAGACAACGATTTTGAAAAACGATTTGCCAATTTGGGTAATATATACTACAAGCAGGGTGTTACCGAATTCAATTGGGACAGTAACATAGACGAGACTGTAAGTACAGAGCACTGAAGGTGATTGATTGAATGATAGACGTTAAGGATCATCAAAACGAAAAAAATAGTCCCCGCCCAAGAAAAACTCTACACTATGTAAGGATCACATGAAAGGAGTTCGTTATTAACGTATCAGCATTATGCAATTCCCTCCCTCAATCCCATTTCGTCTCATTTGACTGCTCCCACAGAGATGGATACACCCAGAGAACTACATAACATAACCGGGAAAACTGACTAAAACAAAAATAACCATTAACAAAACGTTTGTTGCAAAACCAAAAATTATTATAAATAATTATAAAAAAAGAAATAGTGAAAAAAATTAAAATATTGTAGAATTAAGTAGTATTCCAATACACAGCGACACATTTACACAAACACACAGACAAAAGTAATTCATTAGCAATTGCATTTATTGAGTCAGAGTCTGTTTCTCTATGTCGATACCTATCTGAATTTTTTTTTTTAATTAGATCAAAAATTTTAAATTCATATTTGGAATTCTATTTTTCGGTTCGCTTTTCCTTTCATATCGGCATAGGGAAACAGGTCTTTGGTTTTTTATTAGAAACAGAAAAAATACAAATCCAACTATGAATCTGACCTGCTAGACAGACCCATAATTTGTAAGTCCATTTTTTATATAAAAAATATAAGCCCAACAAAAATATGCATTTGAAATTGATACACGTAAAATAAAAAATAAAAAAATACCCCAAGGGAAGGAGGACTGCTGAAAAAGACAATTTTGATTGGACAAATAAAGAAATGTTAATACCTTAATATTTAGTAAAAAGTTTCAAATCTTTGGCCATTGTACGGCCAACCCTCCACCATTCTATGGAGGGTATATTAACTTTGTCATTCCGTTTGTAACTCTGGATCAGCGTAAAATTCTAAGACGATCTAGCGATGTCCATCCTAATGGGTACTACAACCTATGGCAAAAAATTGCGTATGCAGGTTTACATCTTTGAATAGCCTCCATATTACAGTACCTCCCGATATTCGGTATTTTCATTTACGAGAATTGTATTTGAAGATCCTAATGGTATTTGGTATTTGAAGATCCTAATGGGTACTACAACAAAAAATTTCGTATGCAGGTCCAAGTCTTCGTATAGCCCCCATATAACAGTACCTCCCGATATTCGGTATTCTGATGATTTTAACGACATTATTTACGGGAATTGTTTCAAATTTGGTATTTGAACATCCGAATGGGTACTACAACCTATGGTAAAAAATTTCGTATGCAGGTCCAAGTCTTCGTATAGCCCCCATATTACGGTACCTCCCGATATTCGGTATTTTGATGATTTCAGCAACATTATTCCCCGGAATAGTTTCAAATGTCATACTGGAAGATCCTAATGGATACAACAACCTATGGCAAAAAATAGCGTATGCAGGTCTACGTCTTCCTATAGCCCCCATATAACGGTATCTTCCGATATTCGGTATTTTCATGATTTTAGCGACATTATTCGCCGGAGTAGTTTCAAATTACGTATTTAGAGTTCGTAATGGGTGCTACAACCTATGACAAATATTTGTGTATGCAGGTCCAAGTCTTCGTATAGGCCCCTATAACTGTACCTTCCCATATTCGGTATTTTGATGATTTTAACGTCATTATTTACCGTAATAGTTTAAAATTTCGTACCGGAAGATCCTAATGGGTACTACAGCCTATGACAAAAATTTTTGTATGCAGGTCCAAGTCTTCGTATAGCCCCCATATAACGGTACCTCCCTATATTCGGAATTTTTATGATTTTCGCCAGAGTTTTCCACTGATTTGTCTAAAAATTGGTATATATAGGTCATAAAAAATATGGCTAAAAATTTCGCAAGCAGGACCACGTCTTCGTATAGCCTCCATATAAAAGTTTTCATTTAAGTGGTAGTTTCCGGAAGTTTTTTGAAATTCTTCAAGTTCCTTCAAAATGGTGGAGGGCATTAAAAATTCGGCCCGGCCGAACCTACCTGCTTTTTTACTTGTTAGATATTTTTTTTATTGAGGAATAAAAATATTTCGAATATATCAGATATAAAATTAGAAAGATGAAACATATGTCTATTTTTGAATGTCTTTTTCCAGACCCTCCTCTACTTTGATGGACTTCAAAGGAAGTTTGCTCTTTCCTTGATTAATTCTGCCTTTGATAATCTATTAGTAAACAGTCCATTAACTGATCCATTTTAATAACGTGTCTTTCAGCACTTCCCTTGCTTTTTAACAATTCTTTAAATTTCTTTCTTATGGTCTTACTTTCCAAGGGGTATTTTTTCAATACATCTGCACACACACACAACACCATACCAATTTTTTGACACCATACGGAATTTAGATTTATAAAATAACATACACACCAGTTGACGACGAGTATATACAACAATACATTATTATATAAGAATTAATTATAAACGATGATATAGCTTTTAAGCTTTAGCTTTTAGAAACCAAAATTTGTTTTAAGAAAACGAACAATTTACTCGATAAGTTATGAAATGTATTTTTTTTCAAATAGTTTGTTTATTATTTTAAGTGATAATTGTACATACAGTCATAATGTTATAACAAATAATTTTTTTTCTTTATTATTTTTAAACAATAGTTTGAATTCCATTAAAGTATTTATACATATATATTTTTCTTCGAATGAGGATCAGAGCTTTGATGATGTTCTTATAATAATATTTGAAATATCTTGGTATTTTTTCCAATGTTTAAAATGGTCTTAAGTAATTTGAAAAATGTAACCAAATTTATAATGGATGGGAGGAAAGCCTAAGTTGTTGTCTGTCCAACAAAAAAAATTGAATGTCTTCATTCATTCAAAGATTAACAATAACATTTGGTGAGGAAGAAACTGTTTTCACTTTTCGAAAGCACACCTAATTTAAGTATGTCTTGAAGCGTCCTCATGGCAAATTTAATGTTGAATCTAGGAGGCATTACCTCATATTCTCCCAAGTGCACTGTGCAAAAAAAAAACAAATTGCAGGGAAAATTCAACAGTATATGAAAATAGAGCGAAAAATAAAATCCACATGTAACCAGAAATAAAGAAGGCAGATTCTCCCCTCTTGTACACTTTTGGAAATCAAAGTAAAATTTTTAAAGGATAATGCCAAAGACAAAATTAAATATAAATTCATTCATTCATCAAAGAAAATAAACCTCTAAATAAATTATCCAGGGTGAGATAAAAAAAATGCAACAAAGTCAAACGACATGCTGGCCGAATTTGCTCTGCGGTATTTTGGGCCATTCCCGGCAAAGCGCTTGCTTAAATTGATCGACACTTTGATACTTTTTAGTGTCAACCTTGCTTTCAGAATAGGTTTAGATTTGTTCGAATTGGTCACCTTTGACACGAATTATGGCCTTCAAACGGCCTATGAAACCGACACACGCTGCCCGAATGTTGCTCTGCGGTATTTTGGCCCATTCCCGGCAAAGCGCTTGCTTGAGGTGGTCGATACTTTGGTATTTTTTTGTGAAAACCTTGCTTTCCAAAATACTCCAGACACAATAGTCCAATGGATTGTTATCCGGAGATTTTGTTGGCCATTGTGCGCTGGAAATGAAGCGAGGAGCCTGATTTTGTAATCATTCTTATGTGGCGCGTGCTGAGTGCGAAGGTGTTGAGTCCTGTTGGAATGTCCAAGGTCTCCGGTCAAAATGTTTGCGTATCCAAGGCTTTAATACACCCTCCAGAATATTTTCGCTATAATAATCGGCATTTATTCTGATGCCACGGTCGATTAATAGGAGCGTAGGGCAATCATCGGCTGTTATGGCGGCCCACACCACACCATGGCCCACGCTTGAGTTCTGGTTGCCAACTGAAGGTGCACATTTTCAGCCGACCTCTTTGGCAAGTAAAAACACGATCATTTTGTTTGTTTGCAAACTGCTGGATAACGAATGTTTTCTCATCGGAGAAACCCAAATTCGGCACTTCACCACTTTCGGCCAAGCGAAGCAACTCTTTAGCTCTTTTGAGTCTATTTTCTTTCTGTGGCGGTGTAAGTTCTTGCACTTTTCGGAATTTTTGAATGGCCTTACCCCGAGCTCATTTTTCAATATTTGCCGAATGGAATATTGTGATATGTTCAGCTCACGAACCATTTTCGGCCATTGCGACGGGGGTTTCAATCAAGTCGCTTCTTTATTTTTCGAACCATTTCTGCTGATGTTGCCGTTTTCTTCCGTTTACTTCCTTGACGTCGGGTTACGCAACCAGTATCACTGTAACGAGCGATGGTACGAGACACCAAAGATTTATTCACATTTTTTTTGGTTTTCCAGCCAAATTTAAAGAAATCACACTATCACGCTTGAATTCCTTCACGAATAACTTTTGGAAAATTCTCACCAAAATGCTTTTGTACGCTTGTAAACAATATAATGACCTGTCACTGGAATAATTTTAATAGCTGTCGAACGAGTGGTTTAGAAATGACAACAGTCTGAAGTTGGTTGCAGTTTTTTCATACTCACCCGGTATTTATAAGGTAAAGTATTAAGGCAGATTTGGCTCAAAATATTGTAGCTATATGTATGGTTTATTCTGAGATTTGTAATGAAATTTTGTGTAGAATATTTCTTCTTTTGAAATCTTCGGCACAAAATGAAATCTTATGTTATTTTCAGGCTTCAACTCGAAAAAAGTGCGAGAAAAAAATTATCAAAAAATTCTGAAATATTTTCGCGATTTATTGGCAATATTTTCTTGATATATACTAGATTTAGAGTTTTCTTTTCATTGGTGACATACAGTCGAATGTGATGGGGAACAGTTTTGTCTTTGACGTCATATTTCTAAAGTGAAGTATTTAGTGAGATTTTGGCTTGCAGTTGAAACGTATTAAATTGACAGTAAAAATCCCAGACTCATAATTTTCACTTGTACTTTATAAATTTCGAATGTATTTATCTTAAAAACTATTGTACCTAGAGGTATAGTTTATTCTGAGATTTGAAATGAAATTTTGTGTAGAATATTTCTTCTCTTGACACCATCTGCCTAAAACGAGATTTTATGTTACTTTCAGGCGTCAACTCGAAAAAAGACCGAGGAAAAATTTATCAAAAATTTGGAAATATTTTTGCCATTTTTTTGGCAACATTGATGTAAATTTATTTTTGGTATGCAATGAAAATAGAAATTTTGATTCTTCGGAGGCTTATAGTGAAATTTGATGAGGAATATTTTTGTCTCTGCAGTCATTTTGCTAAAACAATGTTTTCTGGGAGATTTTTGCATAAACTCGTATGAAGTACGGCTTTAAGCCTAAAATGTGTTTTTTTTTAATAATTATGTATTTCTGGCGTTTAGGTTAGATTTTGACTTTTGATGTCAATGGAGACCTACAATAGAATTTTTTTGACAAATAATTTTGTAAAATATTTTGACTTGCTACGATCCCGTTTAATAGGACTTTTTAGCCCTATTTTGAAAAAGGTACCAAAAACACAATTTTTTCACTCTCTTGAGGTTTTGTATATCTAACCCAAATAATCCTCGTATTGTTATCCATAATATCGCCGAAGACACTATATACCTAAAATTGATCGATTTCAAGGAATCCTTATCCAAAACAAAAAAAAAAATCAAAAATGCTGTGAAGAGAGTCAAAAATTTTCGTATGCAGGTCCACGTCTTCGTATAACCGCCATGTAACGGTTTTCATTTAAGAGGTAGTTTTCGGAATTTTTTGAAATTTTGTAAGTTCTTTCGAGGGGATTAAAAGTTCGGCTCGGCCGAACTTAGCTGCTTTTTTACTAATTCTTTAATAAAACTAATCTTTTGCTAAAATGAACAGTCATGAGAATGGCCTGATTTGTTAATTTCCCCCAACAACATTTGAATATCCTCCCGGAAAAATATTAATGGAAAAATTCTATATACTATTATAAGACCAAAGCTCGATCCACATACACACACAAAAAAATATGTATTTAGCTTTTAATTTATTTATTTTACTTAATATTGTTTTCCTTTTTTTCTTAAACGACTGATTGTATTTTTTAGGATTTTATTTTGTTTTTCTTTTTAAATACAAAACAAAAAATACCAATAAAATTTACAATAGTTTTTTGTACAATGTAAATATAGGAGCTGCAAAGAAAATACTACAAAAATTGAAATTCAACACAAAATGGGAAATACTTAAACCACAACAGTTTTCAAATGCTTCGTAAACAGTCCATGGTTATAGGGTTTTTTATAACAATTTCATGACATTTCAAATAGACTCTTGTGTTCAAAAGTATTCCAAAAAAATAATATCGGTCAAAAGTTATGTTTATTAAACAAAAAAAGAAAAACGAATACACTTTAATAATTTTAAGGACAATAAAAAAACTCCAAAACTCGAAATAAAGAAAAATAAATTGAAAAAAAAAGACAAACGTTTAGTGACAGAAAATAACTCAAACCCAGACACACATTCAAAAAGTCTAGACTTAAGGCCTTGGCTTAATATTGACAAACACACACACACAGACACAATTAGTTATAAGAAAACACAATGCATTTCAAATAAAAAAGAAAATAAATTAATAAAAATACTAATAAAAAAAAACAAAGTATTGTAAAAAAATTAAATAATTTTTTGATACTACAAAAATAAAAAAAAATAAAAATTTACAAAAAAAAACCCTGTATTAAATTAAGTCTTAAAAAAGTTAATCTCAACTTTTTTGTTTTTGCAACCAAGTGAAAAATTCTATAGGTTATATATTTTTTAAAAATATAACTAAATATTATTATTATTATTTTCAGGTTATGTTTATGGCATTGACCCTAACATAACCTTAAAACAAAAACTAGAAGCTCATGTGCCATTTTTTTGTAAATTCTATTCATACTGACATACATAACATAACACGGATGATTGTCTTGTTAAATCTTAAATTTTAATAAACAAAAATAAATAACAATAACAACAACAATTTTAAATCTTAAGTCAATTTTTATTTAACTTTAGTTTTTTATTATTATTAAATTACCAAAAATTGTGCAATTTTGTTTTTATTTTTTTTATTGTAATATTTTTTTTGTAACACTATTATGTTAACAGTATAAATAAAAAAAAAACAAATCTATAAGAAATAAACAAATCAACAACAACAACTTATTGATATTACTATAAAATAACAATTACAACAATAAAAGAAAAACAAGAAAACCACAAAATAAAATTATAAAAAATATTAAAACCAAAAGAAAATGTGTTTTATTTCCAAAAAATAGTGTGGATTTTTAAAAATTATTAGTTCTTTTAACTACAAAAAAGTAGATTTTTTAAAAATTATTTTTTTAAAATCTTCAGCGACGTTGATTTTTTTTAAAAATATTTTTTCAAAAGCTACAACAACGTGGATTTTTTAAAAATTATTTTTTCAAAAGCTACAACAACGTGGATTTTTAAAAATTATTTTTTCAAAAGCTACAACAACGTGGATTTTTTAAAAATTATTTTTTCAAAAGCTACAACAACGTGGATTTTTTAAAAATTATTTTTTCAAAAGCTACAACAACGTGGATTTTTTAAAAATCATTTTTTCAAAAACTACAACAACGTGGATTTTTTAAAAATTATTTTTTCAAAAGCTACAACAACGTGGATTTTTTAAAAATTATTTTTTTAAAAGCTACAACAACGTGGATTTGGCAAAAATTAATTTTTTTAAAGCTACAACAACGTGGATTTGGCAAAAATTATTTTTTCAAAAGCTACAACAACGTGGATTTTTTAAAAATTATTTTTTCAAAAACTACAACAACGTGGATTTTTTAAAAATTATTTTTTTTGAAAGCTACAACAACGTGGATTTGGCAAAAATTATTTTTTCAAAAGCTACAACAACGTGGATTTTTTAAAAATTATTTTTTTTAAAAGCTACAACAACGTGGATTTGGCAAAAATTATTTTTTCAAAAGCTACAACAACGTGGATTTTTTAAAAATTATTTTTTCAAAAGTTACAACAACGTGTATTTTTTAAAAATTATTATTTCAAAAGCTACAACAACGTGGATTTTTTAAAAATTATTATTTCAAAAGCTACAACAACGTGGATTTTTTAAAAAATATTTTTTCAAAATCTACAACAACGTGGATTTTTTAAAAATTATTTTTTCAAAATCTACAACAACGTGGATTTTTAAAAATTATTTTTTCAAAATCTACAACAACGTGGATTTTTTAAAAATTATTTTTTCAAAATCTACAACAACGTGGATTTTTTAAAAATTATTTTTTCAAAATCTACAACAACGTGGATTTTTTAAAAATTATTTTTTCAAAATCTACAACAACGTGGATTTTTTAAAAATTATTTTTTCAAAATCTACAACAACGTGGATTTTTTAAAAAATATTTTTTCAAAATCTACAACAACGTGGATTTTTTAAAAAATATTTTTTCAAAATCTACAACAACGTGGATTTTTTAAAAAATATTTTTTCAAAATCTACAACAACGTGGATTTTTTAAAAAATATTTTTTCAAAATCTACAACAACGTGGATTTTTTAAAAAATATTTTTCAAAATCTACAACAACGTGGATTTTTTAAAAATATTTTTTCAAAATCTACAACAACGTGGATTTTTTAAAAATTATTTTTGTTTCAGATTAAAAGAATATAGCAGTTTTTCCAAAGACAGAAACAGCATGGATTTTTTTATTTCAATATTTATTTCGACTCTAAATGATTACATAAAATATTTTCTTATTGGCTACTGCTGCAGCTTTGTGAACACATCATTATTTTTTGTTTGCATTTTTTCCTCTGACCATCTTCAATAATTCGGTCCCTTGTTGTAGTAATTCTGGGGTCCCTTGTTATTTTGCGGTCCCTTATTGTTCCATTGCTGTTGGGCCAATTGCAAAGGATAAGTATAAGCTGCCATGTATGAACTGCAATCTGGACAACTGCCAGGCTGGCCTGGAGGTCCACGAGTGCCAGGTTCACCTAAAACAAAATGGTTACTTGTTTGCCAATACTACTAGTGTGTGTGTGTCAACTAACCTGGTTTACCAGTGTCACCACGTTCACCGGGTCTGCCGGGAGCACCATCAATACCCACTCCAGCAGGACCTGGGGCTCCAGGTGGTCCCATGGGTCCCTCACGACCCTCACCGGGATAACCACGATCACCTTTTTCGCCATCACGTCCGGGTGGGCCCATTTCTCCAGGTGCCCCCGGGTGGCCATTTAGGCCAGGATAACCACGCTCACCTTGTGGGCCTCGAGGACCAGGTTCACCTAAAAAAATGTTGAAATACACATTAAATTAAGGATTAGAGAATAATTTCCTCTTTTAACATACCCTGTATGCCCTGAGGTCCAGGTGGTCCTGGACGACTCACACCCCTACGGCCGGGTGGCCCAGGTGGTCCCATGAGAGTGTGCGAAATTTCACTGATATAATCTCGCACCACAGCCATGCAAATATCTCGGATACGACCCTCATCAAAATTGTAATTAAAATTGTCAGCTGGTTGGCCAGGAAGACCGGGCGTTCCAGGCATACCTTGTGGGCCCGGTTGACCAGGTTGACCTGGTGCTCCGGGCATACCAGGTGGTCCCATGGGACCAGTCTTAGTTTCCCAACCAGCTTCGTTATGTACCGAGGCGGGTCCAGGAGGGCCAGGTGGACCTGGAGGTCCAGGACGTCCATCGGCACCATCTAAGCCCGGAAGACCTCTTTCGCCCTTTTCTCCAGGTGTGCCAGGTTCACCAGGGGGGCCTGTAATGGGAGTGGGGCATGTATGTGTTTCTGTGATATTTTTTGGGTTACGTACCTTGAACTGCCAATCCCAATTGTCCCTCTTGGGGTGAGACAACTCCGGGAGGACCAGGTGGTCCAGGCAAACCTCTGTCACCCTTGTCTCCCTTTTCACCAGATTCACCGGGAGGACCTTGAAAAAGAAAACACTTTATTTTTGAATTTTTTTCTCCAAAGACATTCAGCTTTACCTTGTATGCCAAAACCGGGTGGTCCCTGGGGACCCGGCAGACCAGCAATGCCCTTCATGCCTGGGACACCGGGCAGACCGTTGTCTCCTCTTTCACCCTTCAATCCCCACATGCCCGGCAGGCCTGCATCTCCCTTTTCACCCTTCACACCAGCCACCTGGCCATATGTACCAATGGAAGGAGCCGGATTTCCGGGAATACCAGCAGGACCCTAAAACAATTCGATTAAATTTTTTTTTTCAATTCATAAAAGGTCTTTCACTTACGGGAGCTCCAGGCAAACCCCTTAGACCCGGTGGTCCCGGTAGGCCGTGTGGACCACTTGGACACTGTTCGGGGCATGTTACGACTTCCTTGCCATGGAATGAATACGTTGGGGTACTATCAATGTTCCAAAATTTCTCTGTTGTTGTATCCAAATATCCGATGTTAAAAGGTTCTCGTGGCGTCGTGGTGCTTTCAATATTATCGGGCCTAAAACGATTTGTGGTGGTTGTTGTTTCTGGTTTTGGCCATTCGTAATGGGGACGACTCGTGTTGGTTTGAATGTATTGGGGAAGGTCCTCACAGGTTGTGGTGGCCGGTTTGTCTTTGTCACAGCTAAATATCATCCATTGTAGGTCGATCTACAGGGGAAGAGAGAGGAGAGAGAATGGGCGAAAGAGAAGAAAGAGGTATAAGGGAGAGAGAAGAGACAGGAGACGAGAGAGAAAAGAGAGAAAAGAGACAATCAGAAATTGCTCCTGACAACTATTTGTGGGTTTGGGGAGAGTGAGAGAGAAGGAGAGATAGAGAGCGCAGACGAAAGAACTCATTTCTCTCCATTCCCGCCAATAAATCCAAAAATTTCTCAGAAAAAATTGCTGAGTGTGATCTAACATACCGGTACAGTTTCCTTGCTGGAACAGGTACGGGCCACAGTAAAGGCACCATCGGTGGCGTCAATGGGACCCCTCACATCCAAGGGTGCCTTAAAGCTGCCACGATTATCCGGCACAGGTTTACAATCCACCCACAGACGTACACCATCCTGGCTGACACCCAACATGACCTTATGCCAAGAACGATCGAAAATCTTTCGAGGATAAAAAAACAAACAAATTAAATATTTCCCAAAAAAAGGTTGCCTTCAAAAATCCCACCTCGATTTCCTCAAATGTCACCGTCTGCAGTGACCCGTCAAATTTAGGCAATGAAAATTCAATCGCATTTATTCCCGGATTTATGGTCACACTCATTAGCGATTCATACTCGTAGTCGCTCAACTCGAACAGATACCATTCGTAGCGGGGCTGTTGCTGTGGCACTCGGAAAGTACACTCGAACGAGAACTCATTGGGTATACCCTTGGGAAAGGCTCGCGACGATTCGATGGTCATATTTGAATATTCACTGATGTGATAGGCCTGCTGATAGCCTGTCGAGCCGCCGATTTGTGTAACGCCCTGAGCCTCGTATTGATACTCATCGAAACGATAGGAATGGAGGATATCGTAGGTAGTTAGATCGGGATCGCCGGGTCGAACAACGTTGCACGGTTCAACGGGCACAAAATCGCCATCCTCATCTTCGTCGTAGTAATCGTGGCCATTGTGTACTGTGGGAAAGCAAGGATTATTTAAGAATTACTTTTTTTTAAAGAAACAACGAAACGGCTGAAGCTAGAAATTTTGGGAGAGGGCCACTATTGGCCCGAAGGGATTAGATAAAGCTGGGTTGTAAAGGCATTAAAGGTACTAAATCTGGTACCCTTTTTATTTTAGGAAAAAGTAGAGCTAGAAATCTTAAATTTGAAATGAGGGTCACTGATAGAGTGTACGATAGATGTTCCGAAGGATGTTTGGAAATTCGCACTATAACTGTTCGAAAAGTACTTAAACCTAATACTGTTGGTTAAGAAGGTTGAGAAGAATCGATGTGAAATGGTAGTTACGGAAGTGTGTACACATGTATACGAAAGGTACTAAACGGTACAAAATTTAGTACAATTTGAATTTGGGGGAAGGGATGGAGGTGGAATCCTGAAATTTAAAATTACCATTACTGGCGGACTGTAGGATTGGGATATGAAGGAAGTTTTCGAATTGTGTACTTTTGTGTACGAAAAGTACTAAATGATACTAAGTTTGGTACAATTTCGGTTTGGGTGAATCGATAGAGATGGAATTCGGAAATTGAGAAAGAAGATGCAATAGTAAATTTTAGGACTAAGGAATGTATGTAATTTTGAAAATTCGTACCAATGTGTACTAAATGGTACTAAATTTGGTACTATTTAAAGTTTGGGTGAACCAATGCAGTTGGAATCCTGAAATTTGGAAATAAAATTACTATTGCATTGTAGGACTGAGGAATAAAGGTAGTTTTGGAAATTCGTACTTATATGTACCAAATGGTACGAAATTTGAAACCATTTAAATTTTGTATGAACTGTTGGAGTTGCAATCATGAATTTTGAAAATTAGATTTCTGTTGGACTGTATGATTTAGGTAGTTATGAAAATTTGTACTTAAGTGTAGCAAATGGTACCAAATTTGGTACAGTTTGGATTTGGGCAAACCAATAGAGCTGGTATGCTCAAAATGGGAAATAAGGTGAATGTCGCAGTGTACAGGGTGAGATGAAAAAACTGCAACCAACTTCAGACTGCTGTCATTTCTAAGCCATTCGTCCGACAGCTGTTGAAATTATTGCAGTGACAGCTAATTAGATTGTTTACAAGCCTACAAAAGCATTTTGATGAGAATTTTCCAGCAAAAAAAGTTCTTCGTGATGGAATTCAAGCGTGATAGTGTGATTTCTTTATATTTGGCTGGAAAACCACAAGTGGCTATCGTTAGAGCGCACTCCAGCATTTAAATGTGAATAAATCTTTTGTGTCTCGTAACATCGCTCGTTACCGCTACATCAGCAGAAATGGTTTGAAAAGTAAGGAAGCGACTTGATCGAAACCTTAGTCGCGGTGGCCGAAAATTGGCCACGTGAGCTGAACGTATCGCAATGTTCCATTCGGCAAATATTTAAAAATGAGGTCGGGGTAAAGCCATTCAAAGAATTCAAAAAGGGCAAGACCTTACACTGCAACAGAAAGAAAATAGACTCAAAAGAGCTAAAGAGTTGCTTCGCTTGGCCGAAAGTGGTGAACTGCCGAATTTGGTTTTCTCGATAAAAAATCATTACAGATGTCAGAGAATTACAGAAGAGGTCAGCTGAAAATGTGCACCTTTGGTTGGCCACCAGAACTAAAGCGCCGGTCATGGTGATGATGTGGGCCGCCATAACAGCCGATGGTCACTCTCCGCTAGTATTAATCGACCGTGGCATCAGAATAAATGCCGAATATTATCGCGAAAATATTATGGAGGGTGTATTAAAGCCTTGGGCACGCAAACATTTTGGCCACAGACCTTTGACATTCCAACAAGACTCAGCACGCGCCACCCAAGAATGGTTACAAAATCTCCGGATACTTGGACTATTGTGTCTGGAGTAGTTTGGAAACAAAGGTTGGTGCTAAAAAATACCAAAGTGTCGATCACCTCAAGCAAGCGCTTCGCCGGGAATGGGACAAAATACTGCAGAACAACATTCAGGCAGCGTGTGACGGTTTCATTGGCCGATTGAAGGCCATAATTCGTGCCAAAGGGACCAATTCGAACAAATTTGAACTTATTCTAAAATTTGATGCTGTTTCCTATTTTTTTCTTTCATTCAATAAAATTAAAAAAAAAGTAAAAATTATGATGTTTCTGGATCAGCGTAGGATCCTAAGTCGATTAGGTCCTGTCCATGTGTCTGTCTGTTGTAATCTCGCTAGAGTCCAAATGCAGCCTGTGTTAGGAAGCTAAGATTTTACATAGAGTTGTCTTTTTTCTGCAGGCAGGGCAAGTTCCAAAGATCAGCTACATTGGTCTTCCCCATAAAATTGTACCGCTTTATATTCGTCTTGTTGACGATTTTAGCCACAATGTCTAAAGCAATATTTTAAAATCTGGAATTTTGAGTTCATAATGATTTATATATCCTCTGGCAAAGCATTGTCTATGTTGATCCATTTCTTATAGGCCCCCAATAATTGCACCACTCCCCCCAACCTTCTTTTTACTATTTTGATGATTTGAATCCTATTTTCTAAGGGAATTACTTAAAGAGGTTTTTCTATGTAGCAGAAAAATTCCTATATGGGTCAACGTTTTTCTATAGTCCACATCCTTACTTCCCAAATGGTGGAGTGTATGGCCGAACTTAACTTCTTTTTAACTTGTATGCATTTGTATCTAATTTATATCCATTGTAATTTAAGAAAAAAGTTTCAATAAAAATAAATTTAATAATTTTCTGGAAATCACGTATATTTCCAAACACTTTCTGACTGGATTTTTTAAAAATATATTTTTTTCAACAACTATGCAACCGGGATGTTTTTTAAATTTTTTTTTCATAGCTTAAAAATTGTAGTGTTTTACATGTTCGAAGTTTTAATAGTATTTTTGCCAGGACTAACAGGTCGAGAATTTTAAAAAGAATTTTCTAAAGCTTTCCGACCTTTAGTTTCTTTGAAAAAATATTTGTGGGGCATATCTTTTCCAAAAAAAAATACGTGCACTCTGGCAGTTGGTTGATTTTCGAGGAAGTTATTTTCTAAGATAGTCAGATATTGGAGTTTTAAAAAAATATATTTTCCATGGAGTTTTTAAATTTATAAAAATGTATTTTTCAGGGCTAGCAGCTCAAGAAAGGTTAACAAGTATTTCTTCGAGGACGTTAAAATATTTTTTTCAAAAACTTTAATACGTTGGATTTCCAAAAAAAATCAAAAAGCTACCTGTTTGTGGTCTTTAAGAGCGGTCAGTTATTTGAAATAAATTATTTTCATAGAAATAATTTAAAATGCCCCCAGTTATTTAGAAGGTCTTTTGCACACAGAAAGGCTTTCCGACCATAAATTTCTTTGAAGAAATATTTGCACAGAGAATCTTTTAGATAAAAAATACATGGCCTGTCAGGGCGCTGATTTTCGAAGTATTTTTTTTTTAAGAATTGTCAGATATTGGAACATTTAAAAAATATTTACCAAGGACCTTGATTTTTTTCGATTTTTAAGAATGTATTTGCCATGGCAAGCAGCTCGAGAATTCTTTACAAGTATTTCTTCAAAAACTTTTGGAGAAAAAATATTTTTTTAATGATTTTATGAAATCCCTAGGCTACCAGTTCATGAACTTTAAAAGAACTTATTTTCATATATATAATTTAAAATGCCTCTGGTAATTTGAAGGGCCTTTGGCCAACAGAATGGTCTTATAAAGAGACAATTTTTTTTCAGATACAATTCTTTGAAGACCTTTCTAATTTTTTTTGGAAATTAAAACCCCCTGGTCATTCAAGTTTTTCTGGCCACTGAAGACCTCTGTAAAATCTCTCTTTTGCAAATGCACTCCACCAGTTCTGTTATTGACCACTCCGAAATATTTCCTGAGTCTCTCAATATTGTGCAATTGAGGCGGTATCTATCGCTTTCCATCTGTTCTTCTTCTGTCTTTTCTAATTCAACTCTGGGTCACTCTGGGGGTCATCAATTTTATTTTTGTCTCTTTAACCGAAGAATGCGTACTCCAACTAAATATTTGTTGTGTCTTTTCTTTTTTTTTTTGATAACACAATTGGTCTTGCTGGTGATAGAGAATGCAAAGTAGAGCACTCATTTTAGATTGTCTTTGTTGAGATGAGAATTTGAAATTTAATGACAAAAAAAAAAAAATTAGAAAATGTCTTTTGACCGGAAATACGTTGTGAAACCTGGCGACACTGTATCAAAAAGTTCGATTTTTCAATTAAATGTGAGATCAATTTTCGGAGGATATTTCCTACTTCCTTTTTATAAAAGTTCACAAATACGGTATCGATATAAAATTTTTAGATTTTTTCACTATTTTCAGTTTTTTTTATTTAACTAATTTCTTGCTCCATTTTCTTTTTTTTTTTTGTAATAAAAAAATGAATTTAAAATATTTTTAATTAATTTTCTTTTACACACCACCTTGTCCCACTGCAACGGCATTTTGCAATATTTGACAAGCAAATAATAGAACCAATATTCTTCTCAATTGGCTTGACATCTTTAAGAATTTTCCTTCAATTACTTCCTCTTGAAATGTTTTTTAGCACATTGTCTGTTCACTTTATTAAAACTGTGTGTCTGTTCCGCTTAGAAAAACCGCGTTCCAATTCGTTTAAAGTTCAAATCACAACTGATAGGAATCGAAACGTATTCAATTGAAAGAACAGTTTTAGGGGGCATCAAAATGTATAAACCGTCTGTGCCTCGTCGATTTCTCTTAAATGAACCCCAATATTCTGTTTGGAGTGAGTAGTTTTGATTATTCTTTTAAGTTGCTGTTGTTTATTTTCGAAACAGAGATTTGAAAACAAAGTATTGAATAGAGATATTAAGCCTTTAGGGAAAAATCACTAAATGTTTGAATTATATATAAGGGTGAGATTTTGAGATTTTCTGTACGTCCTCGATCGTATTTTTCAATAGATTTTTTTTTGTAAAAATATACAATCTTCAATCTGATAATCCCTAAAAAATATTTTTAAAAGTATCTTCGACCTTCCGAGGCTCTTCTATAGATAGAAGACCTTCGAAAGTTTCTTTATTATAAATAGAAGATCTTCGAAAGTTCTTCGATAGATAGAAGTCCTCTTCCATAGACTGAAGACCTTCGAAAGCTCTTCTATAGGGGGGAGACCTTCGAAAGCTCTTCTATAGGGGGAAGACCTTCGAAAGCTCTTCTAAAGAAAGAAGACCTTCGAAAGCTCTTCTATTGAAAAAAAGACCTTCGAAAGCTCTTCTAAAGAAAGAAGACCTTCGAAAGCTCTTCTAAAGAAAGAAGACCTTCGAAAGCTCTTCTATAGAAAGAAGACCTTCGAAAGCTCTTCTATCGATAGAAGACCTTCGAAAGCTCTTCTATAGATAGAAGACCTTCGAAAGCTCTTCTATAGATAGAAGACCTTCGAAAGCTCTTCTATAGATACAAGACCTTCGAAAGCTCTTCTATAGATAGAAGACCTTCGAAAGCTCTTCTATAGATAGAAGACCTTCTGAAGCTCTTCTATAGATAGAAGATCTTCCAAAGCTCTTCTATAGATAGAAAATCTTCAAAAGCTCTTCTGTAGATGGAAGGCCTTCGAAAGCTCTTCTATAGATAGAAGACCTTCAAAAGCTCTTCTACAGATATGAGACCTTCCAAAGCTCTTCTATAGATAGAATGCCTTCGAAAGCTTTCCTTCTCAATCTCTTCTAGACAAAGAAGACTTTCTCAAGCTGTTCTAGGCATAGAAGATATTCTGAAGCTCTTTTAGCCATGGAATACCTTCTGAAGCTTTCCTAGATAAAGAAGACCGTCCGAAGCTCTTCTAGGCATAGAAGGCCGTCTGAAGCTCTCCTTGGCATAAAATACCTTCTGAAGCTCTCCTAGACATAGAAAAAAGCTTCTAAAGCTCTTAATGGCATAGAAGCCCTTCTCAAGCTCTTCAAGACATAGAAGAGCTACTAAAACTCTTCTTGACATTGAAGAACTTCTAAAGCTCTTCTAGACATAGAAGACTTTCTCAAGCTCTCCTAGGCATAGAAGACCTTCTCAAACTTTCCTAGGCATAGAAGATCTTCTCTATCTCTTCTAGACATACAATACCGTCTGTAGCTCTCCTGGACATAGAAGACCTTTTGAATACCTTCTAGAAATAGAAGACCTTCTGAATACCTTCTAGAAATATAAGACCTTCTAAGCTCTTCTACAAATAAAAGACATTCTTAAGCTCTTCTTAAAATACAAGACCTTCTGAAGCTCTTCTAGACATAGAAGATTTTCTTCCAGACTTGGAAGACCTTCTGAAGCTCTTTCAGACTTAGAAAACCTTTTGAAGTTCTTTTCGATATAGAACAACTTCTGAAGCTTTTCTAGACATAGAAGACCTTCCGAAACTCTTCGAGACATAGAAGACCTCCTGAATCTTTTCTAGGCATAGAAGACCTTTTCGATCGTCTAAAGCTTTTCTAGACATAGAAGACTTTCTCCGACTATTCTAGATATAGAAGAACTTCTAAAGCTTTTCTAGACATAGAAGAGATTCTGAAGCTCTTTAAGACATAGGATACCTTTTAAAGCTCTTGTTTTCATAGAAGACCTGTTGTAGCTCTTTTAAACATAAAACACCTTCTAAAGATCTTCTAGACATAGAAGACCTTCTGAAGCTCTCCTAGGCATAGAAGACCTCCTAAAGCTTTTCTAGACATAGAAGACCTCCTAAAGCTTTTCTAGGCATAGAAGCACATTTCAAGCTCTTCTAAACATAAAAGACCTTCTGAAGCCCTTCTAGCTATAGAAGACCTTTTCGATCGTCTAAAGTTTTTTTCTAGACATGGAAGACCTTCTCCCACTCTTCTAGATGTAGAATACCTTTTAAAGATTTTCTAGACATAGAAGAGATTCTGAAGCTCTTTAAGGCATAGGATACCTTTTACAGGTCTTGTTTACATAGAAGACCTTTTGTAGCTCTTTTAAACATAAAACACCTTCTAAAGTTCTTCTAGACATAGAAGGCCTTCTTAAGCTCTTCTAGACATAGAAGACCTTCTAAAACTCTTCTAGACATAGCAGAACTTTGGAAATATTCTAGGTATTCTCAATTTATTTTTTTAGAATATGAGACATACGCTTTTCTCCCTCTCTCTCTCTCTCTCTCTCTCTTACTATTTACCTCTCTCTTTTCAACAAAATACAGATAAGAGACCCATCACTAATTTCACCAATACCCCGGCCTTGTTCATCGCTGAAATGATGAAGAACAAGTACCGCTGGCTGTGAATGAATGAAAACCCATTGTTCCTGCACTGCGCCAATAAATCGTCAGCATAATTCTTGAAATGAAAACACCACATGGACAGAATTTTTTTGTTTTTATTTTTTTTTATTAGAAAACAATTTTTTTCATATTTTTTGTTAAATTTTTCTTTTCTTTTTCATAATAATTTGTTTTGTTTTGGATTTTTTTTTATAATTCTTTAATATTATTATATTTTATTTATAATGCAATATGTTCACATTGGTTTTTTTGTGTTTTATGAGATTTGGTTTTATTTTTTGTTTTTAATGTAGTGGTTGTTACTAGATTTTTTTTATTTTTTTTTGGTTCATTTATTTGGTTGTTGGTAGTTTTTGTTTTTTTTTTTTTGTTTTGTTAAAGACATAATGAAATAAAGTTTTTTAGTTGTATTTGTTTTTTGTTAAAGAGAATCTGTTGTTTTTTTTTAATTCTGGATTTCTTGTAGTTGTTTTTTTATAATTCTTTAGAGATTTTCATTTTTTTGTTTTTTATTAGTTTTCATTATTTTTTATTTTTTTATTTTGTTAAATATTAAACACAATTTTTTCACAGTTTATTGTCGTTTCTCGACTATTTTGTGTCATGGTCGAGATAATAAGTGTTGTTTTTGGTTTTTGTTTTTGGTTTGTCTGTTTCGTGTTGTTGTTTTTTCGGTTTGTTTTTAATTTTCTTTCCTTCTTTTTCTCTATCTTTTTGTTTGTATTCTGTTATTTAATTTTTTGTTTGTTGCTTTTTAATAATAATAATAATAATAATAATTTAATAATCATAATAATAATAAGTAAATATATAATAATGTATGTTTGTATATATAACTATTTGTTTTTGGTTTTTTGTTGTTGTTTTATTATTTCTCCATAATAATAAATAATTTATGCCAAGTGTAACTATGTATGTAGGGTGTATTTGTATGTTAAGTACTATGATCTTTTTTCTTGTTCGGTATTAGAGAAAATATTATTAGTTTTTTGTTTCTTTATTTGAAATAAATAATAATTTATTGTTGGATTTTATTTTATTTTACAAATAATATTATTGTTTGTTTTTGTCATAAATTTTATTTTTTTCTTTTGTTTGAATGATAAAAAAAAAATTTTTAAAAAAATTAACTTTAAATTATTAAAATTAAATTATTAATTAAAAAATAAATAAATTCGAAAAAACTGAATTTTTAGAATATTAAATTAATTTCTAAAAAAATTGCTTTGGAATCGGTGCAAATTAAATTTTTATACGAAAGGGAAAATTGAGAGATATAAGCCTACAGATAATTTAGAACCAGTTAAATAAGGAAAATTGACAAAAGTATTTTGCCTTACAAAAAATGTACCCTCTAAGCCAAGACATTAAAACCCAGTAAGGAGTGGTCAATAGTCAGACGGGACAGACTATATGATGCCCTACAGCATTATGCATTTAGCATGATATGCCTTCGATAAGAATTATATTGAAAAAGCTAAATTTTGGCCAGGCTGAATTTTTTATACCCTCCATCATTTGGAAGAAACTTGAAAAAAAAAATGGTTGAAAAATACAGCTCAAATGAAAACCGTTATATAAGGGCTATATGAAGACCTGGACCTGCATAAGTCATAGTCATAGGCTGTAGAACAGTTCCGAACTTTATATACGAAATTTGAAACAATTCCGGTGAATAATGTCGTCAAAATCATAAAAATACCGAATATCTGGGGGCACCGTTATATGGGCGCTATACTAAAACGTGGACCTATTTAGACAATTCTCTTCTAAGGGGTAATTTTATGACAATTCCATTAAAAAATTTAGCTGAGAACTCCTTGTGTAGAATTTCAGATAATTCCATTGAAACATTAGCCACATCAAAATACCGAATATTCGGCGGGTACTGTTATATGGGGGCTATACGATACCCTGGACCTATGTAGACAATTCTCATTATTAGGGTAAAGAAACTCCTTGTGTGAATTTTCAGATAATTCCATTGAAAAATGTGGCTAAAATCATCAAAATGCCGAATATCGGGGGGTACCATTATATGCCGGATATACTATATCGTGGTGCTACATAAACAATCCTCTTCCAGGGAATAAAGTACCTACAGAGAACTTCTTGTGTAGAATTTCAGACAATTCCATTGAAAAATGTGGTTAAAATCTTCAAATTACCGAATATTCGGCGGATACCGTTATATGGGGGATATACTATATTGTGGACCTATATAGACAACTCTCATTATTAGGGTAAAGTACTCACAAAGAACTTCTTGTAGAATTTCAGATAATTCGATTGAAAAATGTGGCTAAAATCATGAAAATACCGAATATTCGGCTGGTACGGGATATACTATATCGTGGACCTATATAAACAATTCTCTTCCAGG